GCCACATCCTGCCCGCCTCAGGCAGAGGGAGTGGGCTCTGGGTGGACTGTCTAGTCCGGCATTCCTCACTCACTCCTTAAACTCTAATGCATGTCATTTAAGCTGTGATCTTGGTAGACTCGGTGTTACTCTACTGTTTTCAAGACTTTCTCTTTTACTAAACAGCTGTGGGACTCCCTGCAGAGAGCACTATTTCTGGACCTTAGTTTGCTAATCTGTAGTGTGAGAAAAACAGCGCACACTCCTAGTGTGTTAAAGAGTGTTTATCAAAGGATTGATGGTTATAAGGACTTAGAAATACTGCTATTTATAATATTGCCGTTTTGGATTCCATGGCCCTCACCATGAGGGCTCCTCCTTGGACTGTGCCTAGGCTAACAGTAAAGTGAAAAATATCCTTGAAAACTGGTTGTCACCCAGGCCTGGGAGGTGGGACCCTGAGCTACTATGTTTCTGGTTCAGTAAGGTTTTTGAGTGACCCAGGTCAGATGTCTTCTCTCCAAGATGTATTGGTTGTAAGATGAGGAGTAGTTTCCATATGTCTTCAAAGTCCCTTCAGCTTTCACATTGTTGACCAAGACTTGGGATGATTGCAGCTGCCCTCAGGCAGTGAACTGTAGCATGGAATCTGTATAGCCTGGAAGTTAGACTCAGGGGCTGCTGGGAAGATGGTTAGAACCTCCATCACAGGAAGGGCCTCAGTTACTGAGGGAGACACAGCTGGGGCCCCAAGTGCATGAGGGCTGAGTAGGGTACTCAATACAGTACTGCTATGAAGGCCTTCCTTCCTTCCTTCCTTCCTTCCTTCCTTCCTTCCTTCCTTCCTTCCTTCCTTTTCTTCTCCCTCTCCTCCTCCTTTTTGAGGGATAGCTCATTGAACTTTGGGAGCTAGAAAGTGCCTTGCACCTTCCAGGCCCTCAACAAAAGTCTGAGTAAAAATAAAAGTAACAGCTGACACCCCATGTTTTGTTCAAACTGGCAATTTGGAGTGGATTCCCCGTGCATTTTGTGTTGGTCGCTTTTCCACTGTGATGAAATACCCGAGGTAATGAACTTGCAAGGAGGAAACATCTATATTGGTTCACCATTATGAAGGCTCTGGTCCACAATTACTTGTTTTAGTTTGATTTTTGTTGCAATAAAACATTGGCTAAAAGTAGCTTGGGGAGGAAAGGTTTTATTTCAGCTTACAGGGTGTATTTCATCATTGAATAAAGTCCAGGCAGGAACACAAGGCAGAGACTGAAGCAGAGACCGTAGAGGAATGCTGCTTACTGGTTTACTTTGCCTGGCTCACTTAGCTAACATTCTTCCAGTCTCTTGTAACAGCTCAGGAAACTCTGAACACTTCACCTTTTCTAGCTCTAAACTCAAGTCTTTCCATAGTTCTTACCCACAAAACAACATGGTCAGCTCCATCACAGCAGTATTCCACTGTTCGGTCCCCTGTGTCGGTTTCAGGTACAGGTGATGGGTTTAGAGAGTGAGA